TGATCCAATGGAAAATTCTTCGGAACTTATTGAAAGACAATAAGGAGAATTACTAATGACATCTTGAGAGTGAAAGAGTTACTGCCAACACACCTGACAAGAAGGTGAAGTTGCCCCAAGCACGCGTTTCTTCCGTTAATGATTTTGCAACCTTCTCTGTGTCTCCAATCTCTAGGCGCATTTTTGTATAGGGACAAGGAAATGTTTTGATATCTAGTAACACAAGTGACAGTCCGACCCTCCTCACAGGACTCTCCGCTGACATAAATGGCGACTGCAGCTCTTGTCGTGTCCGCATGTAACTAAGAAGCGTGATCTTATTAACCTCATCCTGTGAAGACATTGTGACATTTGGTACTCATTTTTACTAATCAGTTTTGTCATGTATGTTCTTTATATTCAATTAATTCCTTAAATTATTCCTCCTGTTGTTATTTCATTCCGTTCCTTTCTTGTCTTCGAATTCTTTTAACACCATCTAAGCATTATCCAGATTGTCAAATAATCAAGAGGATAATGAATGCAAAAACAGATAAACCACGATTAGAAACGGTATGGATACGGAACCAGGAGTGGTGGTCTTCATTTCAATTTTCTTATAGGTCTTCGTTGTGAGTCAAATCATCGTAATCGAGAGAAGCACTTAACTCCATGTCAAAAAGTGCGGGTTCATGTCCCCAGGATTAACCAAAGGAAATAATAGGGGCTGCCTGCGATGGACTAACATCGTATCTAATTCACTGTAAAATGAAGTTTGTCTTAGCTCTGGAGCCAATTTACCCATGGAGCTGTTTTGATACCAATTTTGGGGCTTAATTGACCATTGATATACTTGTAAGATAAATGAAAATACTTCAAGTCTCATACACAGGATATAAACGCCAGCAGCCATAACTTCTGAGAGCAGTTTTACTTTTTCTTTTCTTTGTTTCTTTTTTTAACCTTACCACAGTGATTAGATAATCCTCTGCCAAGCTCTTCCACTCATCGTACAGTATTTGGGAAAGGGAGAATTTGGTGTTCTTTGTGTCTCCAGTAAAGTGTCCATCGTCATCCACAGCTAAAACTGCCAAGGCTAAGAAAGGTTTATTTTTTATCAGTTACAACGAAGGAAGGGAAAGATCTCTCCATCTCTCTTCTTATTTTGCCCTCCCTCATAATATTAATCATGCCTCTCCCTAACACATAGTTAAGATGCCACAGAAATTTAATCGCTGTGTGCACTGAACACGATGTAAAGATCCGAAGAAAAGTAGTTGCTTTCATGTAACTTATAATGCACTTAATTTGTCAGGATTTTAAGCTACCTTTCTCCTCAAAGGAAAGAAAGTGTCCATTCATTGTAAGCGTGAAGTTTGCCAATTCCAAAAACAGCCAATGACTCGCAGCTCCATCGGCTTCATTTGCTTACCGGCAGCTTCAAAACACGCCAGCTGAATAAGCTGCTACATACCTAATGACAATTACTTTGCTTTAGCCAGAAGGAACGTTTCCCAATTCATTGCTGCCTGTCTTGTAAAAAGTTCCCTCTCCTCCTGGTTTTGGGACTGGAGACAAAGCAGACCT